GGTTCCAGGATCTTTTCCTTTAAGCAGATCTTTATTCTGTGCATTGCAACCATCAATTTAGTTTCAAATGCAACTGAGCGAGGATCTGGTGATCTTCATTCAGATTTCACTGTCCATGACATATTTCAGTTTGCATGAAGTCACTGATGTCAGGTTACAGTGGGAACTTGCATTTCAACATTTCTATATATGGCAAGATCCAAGTGGCTTAAATCAGCATGCACTGCAATGTCCTAAACAATATAAGACCTCAGATTACTGGCACACAACCAACTCTCCCTTAAAAAACAAAAACAAACAATACAGCATGAGTGGATGTCAGAGCCCTCGGTGACCGTTACTGTCCCACAGACATGAAGAATCACACACTGATATTATATTACACCACATTCTCTCAGGGACAGAGAATACGTCTGAACTTTGTTTTTGCTTTCTATTTATATGTGTGTACTTATATTGCTATAGGCTCTGTACGACCTTGAGTTTTAGAAAAAGAAAAAAACTTGACCACTTGAAATCTTAAAAAAGGAAAGAAAGAGAGAGAGAGAATTCTTCAAGCTTCGAAACAACAATTTGACATGTGAAAAAGGTTTAAAAAAAAAGACTTTTGTTATTTTATTTATTTATACTTTTGCACAGAGGTGTATTACAGAAGTCTACAATCTGGGTAAGTGCGGTATATAGGGGACAAGTCCAAACAGACTAATTCTGACAAATTTAACCTTTGAACACAAATAAAGAGGCACAATAAAGATGATTTTGAGCATTATTTCTTATCACTGTGACCAAATTCATCATTATTAATATTTAAAAATCATCATTAATACTCTCCATTGTGTCTGTGTATGGATGTTTTCTGTCACCTGAAATCATCAACTTATCAACAAATATTAGATAAGACAAAACTCTTTATTATTATGATTCTCTTAAAACAAGTGGGGATACCATTGTACAGGGATGGTAATGCCATGGCACTTTAATATATCATGACACTGCCATTTTCATATAACATTATATTTATGATAATCCAATGTGCTTTATAGAATAGTATTATCATGGCACTTGCCTAAAAACAGGGTATTACCACGGTGTCATTTTTTTTAAATTTAATTTTATTTTATTATTTCTAGTTTTGTACATGTATTTTCTTTTATTGTAGCCTATAGAATGACCAACATGGACACACGACAAACACTGGGTGACATTAATACGGATCAAATGGGCTACATAGGAAAGAAAGAAAGAAAGAAAGAAGAATCATGAACTTCTCGTTTAAGTTTATACATTTTTATTGTTTAATGCATTGAAAGTCAGCAGTACAATTGTGTGTGTGTGTTTTTTTTTGGGGGTTTTTTTTGCATGAAAATCATATATTTGGGTATGACTGATGGAATTTGCCTTGGATGTTTTTTTTTTTTTTTTTTTTTGGTTGAACTATTCCTTTAATGACAGCAGCCCTAGAGCTGACAAAATAAAACATGATGATCACGTTCTTAGGTTTTGAGATGTTTTTTTTTTTTTAAATTATAAACAAATGTAACAGAATGACCAGTGTTAGGGAGTAACTAGATACATGTAACAGAATTACGTAATTTAATTACAAAATAAATGTAACTGTACTGAGAAAAAATGTGTAATTTGCCTAGATTACAGTTACTTATGAAAATGTTAATGATTACCCTTACGAAAAAGAAGTTTATTCAAGTGTGCTATTAGTATACTTCTTTTAAACTAAAAAATAGGAAAGTATACTTTCAGTCTAATTTTATGTACTTCTCAGAAATGGGCTTTATGTACTTCTCAGAAATATACTTAAAATGACATTTAAGTATACTTGACATACTTAGAAAAAGTCTAAATATATTTGAGCTATACTTGTGTTCCTAGAATCCGTGTTTTCATTGTTATACGGTA